AAAAAAAAAATATATTAGCTATTATAATAATTATTATAAGATGAGATTTTCAATTAAAAAATACTCTGAACTAAAAATTAAACAATTTGAAAGTAAAAAAAAACACAGAAGGAATTTTAGTATTGAAAAATATTCTTATAAATTAACTTTATTGTAATTTTTTAAATTTGATTAAATTTTGTTTTTAATTTTTTTTTCCAGTTTATTCTAGCTTTAGAAGTATTATGGCCTGTAACCATTTTTCTTATAGTATTAACAGTTAGGCATATCATTCCTCCTACTGCTAAACCAAACTGTAAGTATATAAATAAAATTTGTATATTTATTATAATAATATATTTATAAATAGAAAATTTTATGCAAAAATGAAAATTTAGCAATCAATAAATTATTCAATTATGTTATTTATGATGCTTGAAATGAAATATGAAATGTTGAATATTCCTTCTATTAAAATGTTTCTATCTTGTTCTTTCAGGCCATTATAATGCTAGAGCTCAACCAAGTGCGGGTCCTCTTCCTTTTTTACAGTCTTTACTTTGTAATATAGATAATGATTGTATTAATAAAACGGCATATGAAGAAATACCAACTTATCCCCAAGCAAGGTATGTGCTATTTATCATCTGCTAAAGATTTCAGGTTAAATTGTAAGCTTTGTTTAAAAACGAAAATTATATACTTGACAAATTGCAAATATTTTTAGACATTGAAAATGATATTTTGGTTATTTTTGTGAATAATGATGAAATAATATAATGCTTTTAATTTTCATGACAGATATTTTCTACACTCATGATACACTGTATTCTATTTTTGTAACACTATTGATTAATTCTTCTGGTACCTGGCATGATACAAAAATTACATAAGAATGTATTATTTATTACATACAAATTTATTTATGTGCTCACATAAGTTTAGTTATTGCTGACATAATATAAAGAATAAACAGCATAATTACTATCTGTTTATTTTGTTCAATGCTGAACTGATATTCAAAACAAAAATAATTAATAATGTATTAATTATTTTTGTCAGCAACATGACAAAAATATAATTACATCACTGCATAGTTACATCTGACAAAATGTAAAAATATACGTTTATTATTTAAAATATAAATATCTACAAATTAATATATTTATATCTGCTTTATTAGGTCATCCCATAAGTAATAAGATTTTTTCTGTACTTAAAAATTATAAATAAAACAACTATTTGCTAAATCTAACATAAACAACTAAATCTGCTAAATTTTCAACAGTCAAAACTTCAAATAAGCAATCATCTAACAGTGCAGTATTAAGTGAGTAAGATGAATGATTTATCTTGTCTCAGTCAAACTCTTCCAGTGTTAAGTTCAATTGAAAAGTGGAGCATGACATTGTCTGGGGAAGAGAACATCTATAGATTAAAAAATGTTGTTTTTTTTCTACAAAAGTCAACTTCAGTTATTACAGCTGTTTACAGTAAAGCTCTTAGCAGTCATTTGGTTTAGAGGTAATAACTCAAAATTTGTCACACTTTTCATATCCCACTAAACAAAAATCAAAATCATTCACAGGTGTAATCATTGTTTTGGCTGAGATTAAAGTTTTTCTTAGACTTAGCCATTGTCTACAACATTTAACATTGTAGTATACTTGTTTATAGTGCTTCAGAATCATTTAGCTGAGAAACATATGAATACTACAGATGAAGTTGGAGTTGCTTTCACTGAGATTTTTACATGTAATTTTATAGACAAGGTTTTGAAAATTTAGTCAATCAATGGGAAAGTGTTGTAGAAACTGTGAAAATACATAATTGTTTAAAAGTTGATATAAAGTTGTTTTATTTATTACATTTGAATGTACAAGAAAACCTCATTATTTATGGGATAACCTGATACTATGAAGTAAACATCAATATAGCTATTAATTTGAATGAAAATTTAATTAATGCAATAGGTTCAAGAACACTTATTAATATTGAATATTAATATTGCTATACATATAATATTATAATATAATATTGCTTTACATTATTATTAATATTGCTATACATATACATATATATATATAAATATTTAAGTAGAATATATGTGATATTAACATAGTACTATAGTTACAATAATTGAAAAAAATTACAAAGATGATGTATATAACTTAAATATTGTAGAAATTTTACAAATAGTTGATTAATTTATTTTTTATTTATAGAGTGGATGAGTTGGTTGATCAAATGTCTCCATTAATGTCAGATCATCAAATAACAGATCTAGTGAGAGCAATGCCAAGAGGAGTAAAACTGATGCAAGCTATTGCAAACACACTTGATCAACCAGAAATTAAGAAAATTCTAGGTACAGTATTTAAAATCTTAATATTTTAGATAAATAGTACATATTTTAAAATAGTTGAAACAATAGTTTTTTTTGTGTTTCAAAATATTTTGAACAATAATTTAATTTTATATTTTAAAATTAAAAATAGTTATGTTGAGTGCAATTTTTTAAGGACTTAATTTTTACAACTATTTAGTAAAAAAGAGGAAAATAATTTACTTTTATATGATTATCAGTGTTGGAAGTGTGTTGTTGAAATTCTTTAAATTCCAAATGATCACTTTCGGAAATGTACTGTACAATATGCTATGCTGATTAATTATATGTAATCATATGTATCATAGATTTTTAATTAGTTCAATTTAGCATATTTATACTATTTGTTATATTTTTGATATATTTGATTTTTCAACAATATGTTCGAAGCAGTTATAAAAAATTTGAATTTCTTTTCACATAATTGTTCGAACCTGGAACCAATACAAAAAATGTTCAAGAGAATTCAAAATACCTGACAATGGTCTGTAGATCAGGTTGAAAACGTTTGTAGATCATAGATTTCATAAATATTAAACATTTCAGAAGTTTTAAACAATATACAAGAAGTTTCTAATTAATAGCTGAACATTTTTAGAAAGAAAAATCATATAAACATTTGGATTTCAGAGGACTTTTAATTCCTATAAAGTTTAATGCATTGTTTTCTAAGTTTTTGTTATTACAAAAAACCAAAAAGAAATGTCTTGCTTGCCAATAACTGTATATCTGTTATTGGCAGACATGAAAAAATATCTGTATAATCATTATTCACATAATGATTATACAGATATTTTTTCATGTCTGATAAGAGAAAGTTGAAAATGTATAATCCAATAAAATATGGAAGATGGAATGACAATTCAAAATCATAATTCTGTATTAAACTTTACAGTGAAACCTGTATAATAGGTGCTAGGGTTTTATCATATTGAAAGAGGACACCAAGGACCAAGATTACAAGGAACAAAGATTGAAAAGTCTTGATTTTTGTAATTTCTGTTTTTGAATTTCAAGGAAAAGTTGGAATAATAAATATTCTAGCTATGATGGAATCCTTCAAAAAGAAGTCTATAACATTTTCAACATTCCAGAACATTTCACCATAATCTTGCCTGCAGATGTCTAGCCTTCTTGATATATGTTGATGTGATATATTTCCATTTCTGTAGCTAGTATTTGGTTTCTGGGTCAAAGTAATGAATTTTATTCTCACCTTGTTTCATATACTAAGCAAATATTGGTATCTCTCAGAATCTGCTGAAAATGAAATATCAATAATTTTATCTACACTCAAATTACAAGGCATCTATAATGCTAATAATTTAGATAGTTGGATAGTCATGGTAGTTAAAATGTCAGCCTACCACTCTGGGAGATCAAGGATTGAATCTGGGCATGGGCAATCAAAAAATTCCAGGAATTTTTTAGGAGTGGTATTACTCATATGTATTGGATCCCTTCTATACCAACTGACTGCTCTTTTATGGGCCTGGCCAAACTTATGATGAGTTTGATATAAGGCCTTGTTAGTGCCACAATTTAGAATGAAAAAAAAATAAAAAAATATTCTAGCTGGCAATTGAATAAGTAGTTTTAGAGAATATTTTTAGACAAAATATAAAATTGGAAGAATTTCTAAGTAAATGAAAAGTATGGACATAGTCTCTTCTCATGGTAGCCAAATGACAGTCCTATTGAGTCAAATACATTTTATCTCTTTTTGGTGAAAAGAGAGAAACCAAATTGATAGTGGAAAAAGTTTTTACCTATATTATTTTTGTTACAAGATAAAATTTTCTGGTTGCCAATGACAACTTGGCATTGCATTGCATTATTTTTCATGATACAATATAATTAATTACGGTATATTATTAACAAAGATTTATGGAAACATGCAATAGTCAACTATGTTTAAAGGAACTAAAAATCATACTGAGAGAGTATTGTAATCTTCATATGAAATTAATTTTATTTTCATTCTTAATCTGTATTTATTTACTTTATTATTAATTCATTTTAATCTTATTATAAAATTGAAATTAGAATGATAATCCCAGGTCAAGCAACTTTGCAGGAAGTAGTTTTGTTTTCTATTTTTCAAACTGACATGAATACAATATCAAAACATAAATATACAATATATTTATTGCCTATTACAATATCATAATTTTTACATTTAGCAATTGTGCCATGCTGTTAGCAGGTTCAATTCAAATGTTTAGACTTGAAAATAACTTTTTATTACACAAGTTTTGTCCATCATAATTCAAGAAATGAATTTTCAGTTATACATTATCTTATGCTTTGCTTGATTCCTAATGTTTTGATACATCTTTTCAAAAATTAAACATCAACAGATATCAAAAAGTATTCTAATATAGCAATATGTTTACATTTTTGGTAATTACCATTTTATTTTCTTGTGTTTGCCATGTTAGTTTATAGACCATCACATCCATAGATACAACCATTTTTATTTTCTGTTGGCCATCAATTTTCCATTTCTGCTTACCACTACAGAAGTTAAAATACTTTTTAACTCAATCTTCTGTATTATTTCTACGCTGCAGAAATGGAAAATATTTCTGATATTGTTTCCACATTATTTTTCTACAAATGGAAACAGAGCTTTATAGTTTACAGTTTTCATTTCATCAGATTAACTAGACATCCATTGGAAAGGACATGGAGGAGAACACTGACTTAATATTTCAAATTAAATTTGTAAATTTTGAACTTGTAAATAAGATACATAATAATCCATTATCATCTTTAAATTATTAATGAGGGATGGAAAATATGATTTTCACTTTCTCATTTTATATTTTTGCAGAAGAAGGTATTCCATTAAAAGAATTTATTAGAGATGAAGATAGAGTCAAAAGTATTTTAATAAATGATGTAAATATTTCTTCGCCATATATTGCCGATGCTCTTTTGAATTCATATGTCAAAGTTCCAAAAGTAATTTCATTGTTATTTATTTTCTTAATTATAATATTTTATAACTTAAAAAATAATTATAAATTTTTAAAATTAAATTTTAGTTAATGAAAATGTTGGATTCAACAAGAAAATTAGCAGATGTCATATGTGAACCTTCTCTTCTTGAACAATATTTAGTATCAGAAAATTCTGAAGCATTAAAAGAAGCATCAGATGCTCTTTGTAAACTTGACAGTTCTTCTCTTCCAAATTTAATTGATAAATTACAAAAAGAAATAGATGGAAAGAAAATAATGAAAATGGTAAAGTTTGTTATTTTTTGAGTTTCTGAATTTCTGAATGACTTCATTATTGCTTCTTACACAATATGTTTAGATTGCAGATTTAATGTCAAGTTTTGGTCGTCCTGATGTTGGTCAGTTTATAGAAGACTTGGGAAATATGTGGGATACTTTCTTTTCTTTAAAAAGTTTGCCATTTGATACAACGGGCCTAAATCGATTGTCTGTTTGGTTTCCTCATGTAAAAGCCATCTACAAATCAATTCGAGATAAACAAGTAGATCTTTCATTGTAGGTAATTATATAATGATGATATATTATTTTTTTATTTTTTATTATTTAACATATTCTCTATTTTCAGAATAACTAAAGTAGCAAAAGATTTAGAACCTCTTTATGAAAACAAAGAATTTGGGAATGAAATAAAAGAAATGGTTAAATATTTTAACACTTTATCTGAATGGATAAAGAAAAGTTTGAGTATTGTTTTAGGTAAGATTCTGTTTTATTAATTTATATTAAAAAAAATTTATTTATACACATAAAATAAACTCAGTAAATTATATAACACTGAAAAATACAGTGATTCAAAACTTTGATCAAGTAATCAGTAACATAGCTGCTTCGTTTGCAAGAGTATTTCTACAAGTCTGATGTGTTTCTCGAGATGTCTCTCAATTACTCATAAATTCTAATCGCTTAAATTTTATAAGAAGGCACACTACCTACCTAGAATTTTATATAATTTGGAATAAATTATATAAAATTCTTTGTAGATAGTGTGCCTTCTTATAATCAGACTTGTAGAAAAATTCAGACTTGCAAAATTTTACAAACCAAGCAGATGTATTTCAAAGTTTGGATTGTGTAATTAGTATCACTCTTTATCTTTAAATGTCATAGAATTTAAAAACGTTATATAATCATATAAGTTATATTCTTGTTACAATAATATTTCTATCGATAAACTTTTTATGGAATTCAATCAGTTGCAGTTTACATTTGAATGTAAATATCAAATTTCTAAGTTAGTTGACCCATGAATTGAATTTATCTGATATATCATAGTATTTAAATTATGAAATATATTTTAATCAAAATATAGTGAAATAATATGAATGTAGATATTTTTTTGCTTCACTGAAATATTTCTTATCTAGACATGTCATCTCCAACCTGTGGCCTGTGGGCCACATGCAGCCCACTCAATGTTTTTGTGCAACCCTTTTAAAACAGTAATTATCTTGTATAGATTTTTATTACAATGAAATATCACATGTATAGTTAAATACATTATTATGATGTATAACTCCTTATCATGTACATTCAGAAGTTAAAACAGTTATTAAATATTTTTTTAACAAAGCTTAAAATGCGTGAATGAAAATGACCAGAATGTTCCTGAATTATATGATGGGCAGTAGCTTTTAGATTAATATTTTCTTACAAATATCGCAATGAAATTAAATTAACTTAATAAGCAACTTCAAGGTGAAAACAAATTGATCACAGACTGTTATCAAAATATAAAAGTATTCATAGCAAAACTCAAACTTTATGAAAGTCAGTTAAAATCAAAACTACAATCCATCTTCAAAAATTACATAAATTTAATAGAGACAACAAACATTTTTCTAAATATGCACAAGAAATTACTAATTTACTAAGAGAATATCAAGAAAGATTTTCATATTTAAAAATTTATGAGAATGTATTTAATATTTTCTTATATTCATTTGACATTGTTGTGGAACATGCTCCAACAAATTTGCAGATAGATTTAATAGATTTCCAGCCATCTTCTGAATTGAAATATATGTTTAAGGCCAATGACAATGTTCTGTTTTATACAAAATACATCTTTAATGATAAATTCCCTAACCTAGAAAAATTGATGATGAGCATTACAGCTGCAATGGAATCACCTAGCTTTGTGAATCTTTTTTTTTCTCAAAATTGAAGATTGTTAAATATAAAAGTCATAATAGATTGGCCGATAAAAAATTAGAAAACCAACTATGTTGTACATCACAAATACCTGTTGATATTAAAAAATTAAGTGAAAAAATTCAATTTTTTCACTTAATTTTTTAATATCAACAGTTTTTTAATACATACAAAATACTGTATAATTGTATGTTTTGTTTTAAATAAATACGTGCACCCACAGTTTATTTTTATTTTTGGTTTTGACCCAGTAAACAATTTCAGTTGGACAACACTGATCTTTCCAGTAACCACTGATGATTCCAGTAAACAATTTCAGTTGGACAATTTCAGTTGGATCAACACTGATACAACAGTAATATATTGTCAACTTTTTACCTAATGTTTGGCAAAGAAATGAAAGATGAGATTACAAATACATAATTTAATAATAATAATTAAAGATATTTTTTACTAATATTAGGCACAAATATTTTGTAAAGAATTTTTAAAATATTAATTATATATCTATTCTATAATAACAATATTACTACTAAATAGTGAACTGTAGCAGTAATAATCAATTAAGTTTAGCCATTCAGTTTCTTAGAAAGTAACAAAAACTTTTTCATCTCCATTAACTTTGTCTGAGAACAAAAGTAAAGAATGAGATAGATTCTTTTTTTCTCTTAATGAAAAAATGAAGCGAAACAATAGAGTATAGCTTATATTATGATTATACACTTTTCATTTGTCAGATTGTTTAAAATTTCTAGAGAAGTTTAAATATTTTTAAAACAATAAAGAATATAAAGATGTAGCTATATCATATCTTTTTCTGCCTGATAATGAAATATTGTAAAATGTCATTTAAATATAGCAGTTTTAGATTGTCTGAAATATCAAAAATTTGATAAATTGGAAAAAATAAATACATTTTTATGAAAAAATGAAGTTTCCATAACATTCAATTTTTCTCTCTTCTTTTAATTTATTTATCCAAACTTAAGACCCATTAGTGACCAAGTGAATAAAACCACTGAACACTCATAGTTGGTTGTAGGTTTGGGCTTTCCCAACATGCCGGTCATGTGGTGTTTTCTGGGTTTTCTTCACATTAGTGGCCACACACCTTATTTTGGCACACCTAAATAGGGGCCAGTTTCACATAGAAAGTACTCCCAGAAAGCATCCCACTTGCAGATCATCCATGTGTCATGTTATCATATACAAATAAAACAAAATCCAAAGTTAATTATAGTTTGTATCAGAACAGTCTGATAATTTTAAATTTTAAATCATTGGATCATTCCAATTACATTATTGATGATTAATGTGTAAAATTAAATTTTATTCTTTATTTTTTTATTTTTACTAAAAATTTTATGATTTTTGCATTTTTAGAAGTACATTCAGGTTTTGGTTCTCTATTTAAAAATACAACATTAACAGAAAGTAAATTGAAAGACACTTTAAATCCAAAAGCATTAAAATCTCTTCTAAATATTTCTTTGTCACCTGAACTGGCAAGTAAAATTATTTTATAAATTTTTATTTTTATTTGTTTATTTGTTTGTTCATTAAATTTTAATTTGTTTATTTTTTTTCAGAAACAAAAATTTAAAGATTTAAATACCCCTAAAAAATTATATGTTTCTATATGTGAAAAACCAGGTTTAGTAAATTTGCTTTATCCAAATCAAACCAATGCAAGTGATGTTGATGATGTAATGAAGTTTCAAAATGCACTTTGTAGTTTATCTCAAAATGGCACTGCATCAGAATTTTTTGATATGTTTAATTTTAAAAAAGTAATGCCAGTAAGTATTATTATTTACTATCAGAAAAATATTAGAACATTATTAAAAAAATTCAGTATCTGATAAATATAGTTAATTCTATTTTATTAAATTACAGAAAAGTAAAGTTGAATTATTTAACATATAATGAATTTTTGAATTAATTAATTTATCAACATATTAATCCTTTGAAGTGAAAGTTACTGTCAATTTGCTTAAGCACAATTTTACTTAAGAAAAAATAGTTTCTAACATATTATAGTGACAAAAATAATTTTGTTATTATATGTAAAACAACTGCATCTAGATTCTCATTACTAATGTTATGTTCAGTACCTCTTAGAAGATACTTTGAATCTTTGCAGTTAGGTGTTTCTAATATTTTCATTGTGCATATTTAAATATCATCATTGTAATTCAAAATTTTTTAATACCTTACTTATAATAATACCAGTCGACCCCCCCCATAACACTGTTGATAATTCCGTTTTATATGAATTCCATGTTGTACGAGTCACTTAGATTTTACAAATACGTGTGCTTGGCTGTGAACGGCTCACGTATTTGTAAAATCTAAGTGACTCGTACAACATGGAATTCATATAAAACGGAATTATCAACAGTGTTATAGGGGGGTCGACTGTACATTTATATGTACAGTCGACAGTAGGTATACAGTAGGTATATGTACAGTCGAGAATAGGTATATAGTACATATATATTGTCCAGAATAATATTTATTTTGAGTTTTAAATAGGATATTATTAGTAATTAAGGTTATTAGGGAGTTAGCAGCCGGTAAGTCATAATGACAGGAACGGCTTATTCGGACGATGGGGGACATCTATACATTTATATGTTAAGCTACTAATTTATAAATGAGCATAGCTTTACTGTTTTGAAGATAATGCAAATTATTTAAACAGTTATGATTAATTTGTTTATCTTTTAGTTATCATTATAACATTATGCATCATTATTAAATAAATAAATTAACACTTTTTATTTAAAAACAATATGTTGTTTATTAAGTTATTCTAATCTGATTTTAGTTTGTATAGCTTCTTACAACTGATTCTTCACACAATTAGCTAAGAACAGTTTGCAATAAAATGATATAATTTTGATATATCAGCAAAATTTGTCATTATTTGTCAAATATTAACATATATTTTTTAATGTATATATCTAAGATTCTAAAAGGGACAATTTAATTTTTAAAAAGTAAATAATGTGAACTTTATTTTTGTATGAACTTACAATTATATTTGTTGTTTAGCAATAATTGAGTTAGCCTATTTATCTTAGAAAATTTATCAAATAATGTTGTCTTTTAATATATTAAAATTACAATATTTCATTATAAATCATTCTTGACTATTTGTGATAAATATTTTATCAGTTGAAAATATACTGTTAAAAAATATATATATATTTTATATATGTAGTTTCTCTTCTATTTATATTTTACAATATTATTAATAGAAATAGGGCTTGCTTTTTTATGTTTAATGATGTGAAATCAATATGGATTATATATTAATATAAAATTAACATCACTTAAAGATTTTAGTATATAAATGTTGCAATGGGAAATTAGAAAGAATTTGATTTAGAATATTTCCTTTTATAAAAATTATATGGGAAAGCAATGAAGTTCTTTAATTAATACTTCTCTTGAGATTACATTAATTATTTTAATTGAAAAGTTAGTTAATCATATATAAGATAAAACAAGGTTTTTTTTATTTTATAACATTAAAAAATTAATTGTAGAGAATAATTTATAAAAAATTGAATTTTTATATTAGTTAATCAACTTTTTTAAATGAAAAAATAACTGAATTTTTTTAAAATAAGGATTTTTAAATATTTTTTATATTTATACAGTTGACTCCTCAATAACACTGTTGATAATTCCGTGTGATATGAATTTCATGTTGTACAAGTCACTTAGATTTTACAAATACATTAGCTGTTCACAACTCAGCACATGTATTTGTAAAATCTAAGTGACTCGTACAACATGGAATTCATATAACACGGAATTATCAACAGTGTTATAGGGGGGTCAACTGTATATTTTACAACTTATTATTACATATTTTTAAAAACTTTTTTAGGAAGACGTTTCTTTTGCAGAATTTATAAACAATACTGCATCGGTAATGACAACTCTCAATTCATTATTTAAGGAGTTATCAGGAACATCTCATAATTATGCTTCAATAATACAAAAGTTAATTGATGCAGTTTTATCTTTTGTCACCCCTTCTTCATTTGATGATGTGTATGTGTTATCTTTAAATGTTAAAATTTAACATTTCTTTGATATAATATTAATTTGATGTAATTTTAGAAAACGGATATCTAATGGAATAGGAATCATTGTTGAAGTGATCCAAGAATTTCATACCAAAGGAAAAACTCATGTTGCTTTTAATATTATATATAATTTACTCAATCATACATTAGATGTAGCAAATTTAGGTAAGTAATTATTATAATATTTAAAAATAAATTCTTAATAAAGATTGGTTGATTATAATATTAACAATATTATAATCAACCAATTGGAATTTTCTTACAATGAAGCCTAAAGAAAATTCCAGATGTAATGCCGAAGGATGAGGGGCCAAGCCCGAAACGCGTATCGGCCTAAGGAAGATTAATAAAGATGATATAATATGACTAGTGTCTATTTATGCACCTAGTAGTGAAGAAAAAACAAATAAAGGAAGACACGGTTTCGGAAATACATAATATTAACAATATTAAATATCTCAAAGCTAAATCAATTGATTTACTTTTTCTGATGTTAATAAGAATTTGTGCAAGTAAAGAATAAGTTTCAATTTATTTATTCTTTATTTGTATAACTGTAAATGCATAGGCACATATGCTTATTACAGTTGAAAAAACACAATCAATTTAACTTAAAGACAATTTAACTCAGTTACATTGTTAATATTATCCATTATTAACTTTCAATTTTTGATACAGTATAAACTCATCAATTCGTACTTTATTGAAACACAGAACTATTTAAAACTATTTTTGTGTCCCAATAAAGCAGGAATTGGTCTGTTTATAATTAATTGTTATACTAGTTTAAACAAAATTAATTGAGAAATTTTATAATATTGTTTATAAATTAAACTTGTAATGATTTTGGATTATACATATATGAAATAGAATGAGGGTTTATTAGTAAATAACAAAAATTTCAAATAAATATGCTATATTATAGTACAAAAATACATATTCTTTATCAGTATTATTGTGGAAACCTTAATTAAACTTAAATCATTGTATAAAATCTGCATATTTATCAAAAGTATGATAACATTAATTTTGTTTACTACATTATATGATCATATTAATAGTCACTAATACTACTGTGTTTAATTGTTTTATTTTAATTCATAAAAATCTTATTTAAGCAGTTATAATTATTGTTGTAAATATTTCAATGAACAAATGTTTATTTTCAGATCGTGAAATTTCTTTAAAATATGGAAGAACACAATATTGGCCTTATCTGTTGGAAACATTTCTCTATACTCTTCAAGATGAACAAAAAGTAATTTTTCTCATAAAAATAACTTTTCAATGATATATTTAATATTATATATATCACAATAATTTAAAAATATATTTTTAATAATATTCTAGATCATAATTTAACATACTCTATTCATGCATTTCATTATTTAAAGTAGTACTATTAAGTATTAATAGATATATAATATATGTAAAAGCTTAGTAATTTCTTTTGTCTTACCTGATTAGTAGTCACATTTTAGATGATATTTATGTATTTCATTATCTGGTTTTAGTTGCTGCTATAAATTTATTTAACAAATTTTTCATATATTTAATAACTTGATTAGATGCTTTGTAACAACTTTCTTATATTATTTTCAATTGCTTATTGCAAATAAATATTGGTTATATATTTTTATAGAAACTATAACTCAAATTTATGTTGATAATTTTTTATTTTAATTAAATTGAACATTTCATTCCCTCTACAGGAAATTATATAATATAATTTATATCTATCATTTAAAATATTAGTCTTCAAATTCTTTAAATATATTCAAATCTGTTTAGTCAATTTGTAATTAATTATTTCTCAGTCAGGTGTTTAGGGACTATAACTTCTGTCTCACAATACTTCCTAGGTAAAAGCTCTACTATTCCTTTTATATTCAACATTTTTTAAACAGTTTTTTTGTAATTTCTTATATATTGAAGACGTTTTATTTTTTCAGATTGAGTATGAAAATGTGATAGATTTCATATATTTTGATGAGTTGTTTCTTTCTATGTCTTTTTTAAATTTTTAATGATACAGAAAGTCAAATGGAAGGAATCAAATCAAAAGATTTTTCAAACTCAACGTTTTTTTAAACTTTGTATATTTACATTAAAATATTCACAGTAAAGAAATTTTTAGAGATATTCTCTTAATATTTATTTTTCTTTCAGAACTAATTCTGTTTGTTCTCAAAATATGAAAATAATCTAGATTGTTCTGTGTTTTTTAATTTCACTTGTATGTTTCCATTATCAATAAATAAATAATTTTATCAGTTAGGCAAAACTCTGTATATCATAATAACTTCAAAAGACACTAGTCTATAAGATGAAGACTTCCTCAATGATTAAGATATATAAATTGATCTAGGTTTTTCTTTTTGGTATATTATCAAATCCCAATCACATTCTTTATTGACTGAGACATCTGATAAATGTATTATATCTAAGTTATGTTATTGCTCTTCTAGAAAGTTATAAAATGTTTTGCAAAGTATTTTATAACTGTTTCTAGATTTTTTTATATTAGTATTATGTTGTCAAAATGTTAGTAATGTGAGCAATGAGAGTATATTTATTTATTAAGCATTTTTATTTATTTAATTTTATATATTGTAAATCATATCTTGTTTACATTAATAAATATAAATATTTATTAATATAGAATACAATAAATTTATGAAATTAAAACTTGTTCTAGTGGATGTTAAAATTATGCTCAGAAATATTTTATAATTAAATTTTTCACTTTATCTCAAAAATTGCATTCAATATATGGATTGTAATTCTGTCACATGTACATCTTGAATATATTTTTAACTTGATCTGTTGAAGATTTGTTATGATTACAGAATTTGTTACACCTTTATTTGATTATTATTATTATAATAATTGTAAAGTCAAGCTAAAATATCACATTTTCTTCGTACAGTTACCAGAGTTTTGATTGATAGAATTGTACAATGTTTTATTTAATATAATTTTATTCTATCAATTTTATAGATTCTCGGATATAACAGATATACTTAAAATTCACAAAAAATAGAAAAACACCAAAATAAATTTAAAATGTCTTCATATTTTGTACCTTTTCACATCTCAGGAAAACAGCACAAAGTTTTACGGTAGATTTATCTTTATCTTGAAGCTCTCATCTGCCTCAATATGCAAAACCTGTTTAAAAAATATTCTCTCGAGTGTGGTACAATTGTAAGAAATATGTTGTTGATAAAGAATCCAGGACAATAAGATACTTAAAATTTACAAAAATAAAAGAAACAATAAAATCAATTAAAAGTTTTTATCTTTTGGATCCTTTTATCTCTTTATCTTGAAGATGAGAGCCTCAAGATAAAGGTTGACTCTGCTGTGGGACTTTATTGTGTTTTTCTGAAGTTTGAAAATGGACAAAATTGAAAGCACTCTTATATTAATATTTTTTTCTATTTTTGTAAATTTTTAATATACTTATTGTCATTGACTTTTTTAATCAGCAATAACTGATATAGTTGTGATAACTTAATATTTTAAGGAAAGCTTAAAAAATAATAATCTGTATTGTCAATTAAAAAAATGAATAATTGTAATCATTGTATGTGTTTATTTATAAAGAATAAATTTTTGTTTTCTGATTTTACAATGTAGAATTGTTTTAAAGTATTGTTATGTAATGCAGAAAAATTATAATATTTAAAAAATTTATTAAAACATCTTTTTAAAAAGTTGAACATTTTTTTTTTTGTTTTGTCAAAAGTAATAAAAAATTGTCAATGATTTATTTGTCAATTCACAGAATAAATAATAATTATATTTAAAATTATAAGTTTGTATATGAAATTTAAGAAAATTTAACATGGTATTTATAGTTACAATTTGAAAGTAATTTTTAAAAATATATTTATCTTAGGCAGCAACTGTTTTGAATGTTAAGAATTGGCCAGATATATTTTGTGATACAAACAAATTTTCTTCAATATTTATTTTAAAAGATATTGAGGAAGAACCATTACAAAATTTTGCTTGTGAATTTTTTACTAGACATTTTGAAGTAGTAAGTATAGTATTTTAATCATATTTATTAAATTATTTTGACATGCAACAGTTTTTCCTATAAAACATTATTATTTTATAGATAAGCCATTTAAAAGAATCTGCAACTGATGAACCTATAAAATGGAGAACATTAATAGATAAGTCAGCTACTCTTTGGAAATATAAAAATGGAACACAGCTATACAGTTATAGGTGGAAACGTTTGGTAAATGCTTACAAATCTTTCAGAAGAAAAATATGGAGTGACTCTAATTTAAACAAAAGGTATATGATCTCATTTAGTTGTCATGCCATCTCAATAATCATTCAATATAATATAGTGTTCAAGAATTTTTAATAACACTTTTAAATAATGAAGAATTTCAAAGTAATTTTAACTTTTATTATACTTGTGTCCACTTTGGACATTCTTATCAACTGGGACTTGTTATACTGAGGGAAGAGAAAAACACAGTTTCTAATTAAAAAATATTTATTGTAATGTAATCTTGTATGCCACTACAAGATTACATTACAATAAATATATTTTAATTAGAAACTGAAGTTTTTGAAATTAATTTGAAAATTTACTTTTTCCATTAGATACATTTAATTTAGCAAATTATTATTATGTTTTGCAAAATTTTGTGGATTAAAATGGATAATTTTTTGTTTTCCAATTTTCATATTTAAAAAGAATAGATAAGACAAATTTATTGTACATACATATATACATACATACAAAAAAGACTTCAGCCGTACACAAGGTGTTTAGCCAGCAGAAAAGAGGGTAAGGGAAAGGGAAGGGGAAGAAGGAGGGAAAGGAGATAGACAGTAAAGAAAGGTAGGATCCCTCTAAATAGTGTATGTATGGCTACAGTACCCAAATTTATTGTACAGTAACATAAGTTATATATCACTTCCTTCCATAGTACACAGTTAGCAACCTCTTCCACATCCTTCCTCATGAAATAATCCTTAGTGTCACTTAAACTGTATTGGGAACACAATATTTCTTGAAAGAGTGCTGCACAACTTTTTCTGTGTTTTTAATCCAAATAGTTATGCTGTTACTGTAATAGACTAAGGAGATTGAGTGAAGTTGACATCTTAAATATTTACTATTATGAATATTAGTCTAATAAAATTATTAAGATGATGCAACAGAATTAGTGAGTGAGAAATAAGATGCATGACACTAGAGGTAACTAATTATGATGTATTACCTTGAATCTAAGATGCATTCTATTTTCAGTGCTGCTAAAATGTGAAAAAAAATGTCTTAAATTCAAGTAAATACAGTAAATCAAATTTTATTGGTAGTCTTTTTAGATCTTGTATATGATAATCATCGTGTAAAAAAGTAAAGTTACATCTCATATTTTAAATTTTATTAGAAGAATTAAGTAAATTTAAACAATTCATTTAAATGCAAGGCAGGAGAACCAAAAAAATAAATAAATATTAAGTAGATTCAATAAGAAAGTTGCAAAGGATAACAGTAATTAATAAATTATATTAAAATTTCTTATTTGTATTGAGAATAATGTGATATTTATATTGATATTTTAATATCTTAAAGAAATTTTCTGCAAAATATATTTAATAAAATCATATATTTATAGAATATCATTTATATTTTTAACCTTGAATGGATTTGGACAGTATGTTAAGATTGCTAAAGTTCCATATTGGCAGGATATGCTAGCTATCTTTTATTCAGCAGACCAAATAATTCAATTAATCAACAATCAAATGAAATCAGTTTTAAGTAAGTAAATATTTTTTTTTTATAATAATTAACAATTTAATAATTTTTAGAGATTTTATATAAATTTTGAAAATTGTTTAGGTAATAATTCTTTACAAGTATCACATCTTTCTCTCAATCTTCCATCTTTAAAGGATGTTGTTTCAAAAATTATTCCTGCACTCCCTGATGCATTTGTTGCATTTGGAAATCTTCTTACAAATGATCTTAAAAATGTAAGTATGGTTGCTTCTGTTTTATATATATATATTTTTTGTTTTTTTTGTTTTTTCCATTTAGTTTAACTTTTTAGTGGTAGAAGGAACATGATGGTAACTGAGAATAAATTCTACAAACGTTTTATTTGAAGTTTAAAAGGAACAGATTCTGAAAAAAATAGTCTAGCACTTTCAAACTTACATTTATTATCAGAAACAAGCTATAAATACCTTTACCATACTAACATAACTAATATGTTGTCATATAAGTATACTAAACCAAAAGGAATATGACTTAAACAAATTAATTAACAAAAATCTGTTGAGAATAACATATGATCAAAAAGATAATAAACTAATTGGTTTATTAGAGATTTACAAAATACTCTAATTGGACCAATACACTTATCTCATTTTGGAAATGAACTGTTACCAAGAATTGAGGAGGTAGAGTCATATTTATAATATTTTATTGTAAATATTTTCCATAAATCTAGACAGATTCTAGTATTTTCACATTATTTTCTTAATTGATTTTTTCAAGAAGTTGCACTTTATCCCTAAGAATGGTCACATTATTATTCATTTTTTTTTCTTGTATAAATTTATCTAATAAACTAATCTTTCTTCTTCTACTGTCCATCCTTTTCATTATTAATATTGTCACAATAAAATCAATGGACAAGTATGAGATGAATTTTTATAAGATTTCATTCATTCTTGTCTATATCCCAATACACTCATGACTTTGTATACAGAGAAGTATAATTTTCAGCTTTATATGATCAGCAAGAAATACTTTATACTTGAATAAGTACATAGTGTCATAAAATTTATAAATTCACATTTTTTATCATAAATTGTTGTTTTCTTTATTTTTTTTCTCTGTTTATAAACAATTATTCGTTAATAGTTGTTTATGAATACGTAAATAATTTATAAATGTATGTATGATATCAAAATATAAAATTCCAGCAATAAGAACATCATTGTCAATGGTATGCATAGCTCTAATAATTTGGTGGTGCCACCTTAATAATTATAAAATGATCATGCCTACAATAATGTACTTGTTTCCTAATGCCATTAAGTTTTGTACATGTTAATTCATGAGTTTGTAAACTTTTAGTGGTTTTATTAGATTGATTGAATTTTTTTTTCTATGTATGCTTGATCAATACAATCTTTTGCTGTTGCATCATTAGCATAAAAAATTACAGTAGAAACAAAAAACTACATTTTTTGAAAGATTGTATTGTAATTATATTTATTGTAACAATTGGATTGGAAGCTTCTTTGCCTCTTTTCAATCAGTTTTATTAAATTCTTTTAGTGTAGGCTGAGTAGGTCCTCTAGAAACCTTGCCCAATGTTCTAGTTTATTTTTCAGAATAAGGAAAACAGGATCATCATAGAGAACATTCTCTTGAACTGAATGTCTACTAATGGAATGTCAAAGTATGATTACTACTAATACTTTTTAACATGTCATTTTTTTCAGCTCAGCACTACAACTGTCATTTTTCACATGTTATTTTGGTTGAATTGGCTCAGATTCAGTACATTCACTTGTATTCATGATTGTACTACCATTTGGTAGTTTTAAACACACCACTTAATGATCTTTCTTGTAGTGATAGAAATAACCAAACATCACTAATAAAAAAGGGCACAAATATTAATTTACACATCTAAAAAATAATATTTGGCAATTGATATGATGAAGTTTAAGTAGTACTGAAGTACAGTATTGTGTTGTATTGTATTGTAAATCAGAATGCAGTGAACTTAGTCCTACATCATGCGAGTGACATTTGAGCGTAAAGACATAATTTGATATATGATCTCAATGATTAATGTTGAGAGATGAATCAAGATCAAACTGCTCATGGTGTGTATTTCAGTTTCAGTAGTATTCAGTGCAGAAAATGCTGGAACTTTGTAGAATATTCAATAGTGGCTCTACATTATGATTGATTGGAAGAATGATTTGCAATGTGTGAAAAATTTTCTCATTGGATAATAAGATTGAAGAATGCAATCAAAGGAATGATATAAAGAAATTTCCAGTATTTTTTTGGAGTTACAGCAGTCTATGCCACATATAGTTCTTTTAAATGGAGAAATTCAGCATAATTTTACTTGTAATAATAATTTTTTAATTGCAGATTATGAACAAAATACATAGAAATATTTTTAGATTATGAATAGCACAAACAAGCACATAATGTTTTCAGGTCTTTTGTTTGTATTAACACAAATTAAAATTCAAAATTTAAAACTTTTCACACAAAAAAAATCCTTTTATTTTCTATCGTACATATTATTTTGTTATCTCCCTGTCTCAAATAAAAATGCATATTAGATAAAACTGAAATAGTCAATAAAGAATTTTACAGATAGAACTGTCATTTTCTTTTTAAAGCAATTTACTAGATGATTTGTGGAGCCATGGCACTGGCAATTAACCATGCACACTTTGGTTATTTTGTTTAAAATNATTCTTTAAATATATTCAAATCTGTTTAGTCAATTTGTAATTAATTATTTCTCAGTCAGGTGTTTAGGGACTATAACTTCTGTCTCACAATACTTCCTAGGTAAAAGCTCTACTATTCCTTTTATATTCAACATTTTTTAAACAGTTTTTTTGTAATTTCTTATATATTGAAGACGTTTTATTTTTTCAGATTGAGTATGAAAATGTGATAGATTTCATATATTTTGATGAGTTGTTTCTTTCTATGTCTTTTTAAAATTTTTAATGATACAGAAAGTCAAATGGAAGGAATCAAATCAAAAGATTTTTCAAACTCAACGTTTTTTTAAACTTTGTATATTTACATTAAAATATTCACAGTAAAGAAATTTTTAGAGATATTCTCTTAATATTTATTTTTCTTTCAGAACTAATTCTGTTTGTTCTCAAAATATGAAAATAATCTAGATTGTTCTGTGTTTTTTAATTTCACTTGTATGTTTCCATTATCAATAAATAAATAATTTTATCAGTTAGGCAAAACTCTGTATATCATAATAACTTCAAAAGACACTAGTCTATAAGATGAAGACTTCCTCAATGATTAAGATATATAAATTGATCTAGGTTTTTCTTTTTGGTATATTATCAAATCCCAATCACATTCTTTATTGACTGAGACATCTGATAAATGTATTATATCTAAGTTATGTTATTGCTCTTCTAGAAAGTTATAAAATGTTTTGCAAAGTATTTTATAACTGTTTCTAGATTTTTTTATATTAGTATTATGTTGTCAAAATGTTAGTAATGTGAGCAATGAGAGTATATTTATTTATTAAGCATTTTTATTTATTTAATTTTATATATTGTAAATCATATCTTGTTTACATTAATAAATATAAATATTTATTAATATAGAATACAATAAATTTATGAAATTAAAACTTGTTCTAGTGGATGTTAAAATTATGCTCAGAAATATTTTATAATTAAATTTTTCACTTTATCTCAAAAATTGCATTCAATATATGGATTGTAATTCTGTCACATGTACATCTTGAATATATTTTTAACTTGATCTGTTGAAGATTTGTTATGATTACAGAATTTGTTACACCTTTATTTGATTATTATTATTATAATAATTGTAAAGTCAAGCTAAAATATCACATTTTCTTCGTACAGTTACCAGAGTTTTGATTGATAGAATTGTACAATGTTTTATTTAATATAATTTTATTCTATCAATTTTATAGATTCTCGGATATAACAGATATACTTAAAATTCACAAAAAATAGAAAAACACCAAAATAAATTTAAAATGTCTTCATATTTTGTACCTTTTCACATCTCAGGAAAACAGCACAAAGTTTTACGGTAGATTTATCTTTATCTTGAAGCTCTCATCTGCCTCAATATGCAAAACCTGTTTAAAAAATATTCTCTCGAGTGTGGTACAATTGTAAGAAATATGTTGTTGATAAAGAATCCAGGACAATAAGATACTTAAAATTTACAAAAATAAAAGAAACAATAAAATCAATTAAAAGTTTTTATCTTTTGGATCCTTTTATCTCTTTATCTTGAAGATGAGAGCCTCAAGATAAAGGTTGACTCTGCTGTGGGACTTTATTGTGTTTTTCTGAAGTTTGAAAATGGACAAAATTGAAAGCACTCTTATATTAATATTTTTTTCTATTTTTGTAAATTTTTAATATACTTATTGTCATTGACTTTTTTAATCAGCAATAACTGATATAGTTGTGATAACTTAATATTTTAAGGAAAGCTTAAAAAATAATAATCTGTATTGTCAATTAAAAAAATGAATAATTGTAATCATTGTATGTGTTTATTTATAAAGAATAAATTTTTGTTTTCTGATTTTACAATGTAGAATTGTTTTAAAGTATTGTTATGTAATGCAGAAAAATTATAATATTTAAAAAATTTATTAAAACATCTTTTTAAAAAGTTGAACATTTTTTTTTTTGTTTTGTCAAAAGTAATAAAAAATTGTCAATGATTTATTTGTCAATTCACAGAATAAATAATAATTATATTTAAAATTATAAGTTTGTATATGAAATTTAAGAAAATTTAACATGGTATTTATAGTTACAATTTGAAAGTAATTTTTAAAAATATATTTATCTTAGGCAGCAACTGTTTTGAATGTTAAGAATTGGCCAGATATATTTTGTGATACAAACAAATTTTCTTCAATATTTATTTTAAAAGATATTGAGGAAGAACCATTACAAAATTTTGCTTGTGAATTTTTTACTAGACATTTTGAAGTAGTAAGTATAGTATTTTAATCATATTTATTAAATTATTTTGACATGCAACAGTTTTTCCTATAAAACATTATTATTTTATAGATAAGCCATTTAAAAGAATCTGCAACTGATGAACCTATAAAATGGAGAACATTAATAGATAAGTCAGCTACTCTTTGGAAATATAAAAATGGAACACAGCTATACAGTTATAGGTGGAAACGTTTGGTAAATGCTTACAAATCTTTCAGAAGAAAAATATGGAGTGACTCTAATTTAAACAAAAGGTATATGATCTCATTTAGTTGTCATGCCATCTCAATAATCATTCAATATAATATAGTGTTCAAGAATTTTTAATAACACTTTTAAATAATGAAGAATTTCAAAGTAATTTTAACTTTTATTATACTTGTGTCCACTTTGGACATTCTTATCAACTGGGACTTGTTATACTGAGGGAAGAGAAAAACACAGTTTCTAATTAAAAAATATTTATTGTAATGTAATCTTGTATGCCACTACAAGATTACATTACAATAAATATATTTTAATTAGAAACTGAAGTTTTTGAAATTAATTTGAAAATTTACTTTTTCCATTAGATACATTTAATTTAGCAAATTATTATTATGTTTTGCAAAATTTTGTGGATTAAAATGGATAATTTTTTGTTTTCCAATTTTCATATTTAAAAAGAATAGATAAGACAAATTTATTGTACATACATATATACATACATACAAAAAAGACTTCAGCCGTACACAAGGTGTTTAGCCAGCAGAAAAGAGGGTAAGGGAAAGGGAAGGGGAAGAAGGAGGGAAAGGAGATAGACAGTAAAGAAAGGTAGGATCCCTCTAAATAGTGTATGTATGGCTACAGTACCCAAATTTATTGTACAGTAACATAAGTTATATATCACTTCCTTCCATAGTACACAGTTAGCAACCTCTTCCACATCCTTCCTCATGAAATAATCCTTAGTGTCACTTAAACTGTATTGGGAACACAATATTTCTTGAAAGAGTGCTGCACAACTTTTTCTGTGTTTTTAATCCAAATANTCATCTGCCTCAATATGCAAAACCTGTTTAAAAAATATTCTCTCGAGTGTGGTACAATTGTAAGAAATATGTTGTTGATAAAGAATCCAGGACAATAAGATACTTAAAATTTACAAAAATAAAAGAAACAATAAAATCAATTAAAAGTTTTTATCTTTTGGATCCTTTTATCTCTTTATCTTGAAGATGAGAGCCTCAAGATAAAGGTTGACTCTGCTGTGGGACTTTATTGTGTTTTTCTGAAGTTTGAAAATGGACAAAATTGAAAGCACTCTTATATTAATATTTTTTTCTATTTTTGTAAATTTTTAATATACTTATTGTCATTGACTTTTTTAATCAGCAATAACTGATATAGTTGTGATAACTTAATATTTTAAGGAAAGCTTAAAAAATAATAATCTGTATTGTCAATTAAAAAAATGAATAATTGTAATCATTGTATGTGTTTATTTATAAAGAATAAATTTTTGTTTTCTGATTTTACAATGTAGAATTGTTTTAAAGTATTGTTATGTAATGCAGAAAAATTATAATATTTAAAAAATTTATTAAAACATCTTTTTAAAAAGTTGAACATTTTTTTTTTTGTTTTGTCAAAAGTAATAAAAAATTGTCAATGATTTATTTGTCAATTCACAGAATAAATAATAATTATATTTAAAATTATAAGTTTGTATATGAAATTTAAGAAAATTTAACATGGTATTTATAGTTACAATTTGAAAGTAATTTTTAAAAATATATTTATCTTAGGCAGCAACTGTTTTGAATGTTAAGAATTGGCCAGATATATTTTGTGATACAAACAAATTTTCTTCAATATTTATTTTAAAAGATATTGAGGAAGAACCATTACAAAATTTTGCTTGTGAATTTTTTACTAGACATTTTGAAGTAGTAAGTATAGTATTTTAATCATATTTATTAAATTATTTTGACATGCAACAGTTTTTCCTATAAAACATTATTATTTTATAGATAAGCCATTTAAAAGAATCTGCAACTGATGAACCTATAAAATGGAGAACATTAATAGATAAGTCAGCTACTCTTTGGAAATATAAAAATGGAACACAGCTATACAGTTATAGGTGGAAACGTTTGGTAAATGCTTACAAATCTTTCAGAAGAAAAATATGGAGTGACTCTAATTTAAACAAAAGGTATATGATCTCATTTAGTTGTCATGCCATCTCAATAATCATTCAATATAATATAGTGTTCAAGAATTTTTAATAACACTTTTAAATAATGAAGAATTTCAAAGTAATTTTAACTTTTATTATACTTGTGTCCACTTTGGACATTCTTATCAACTGGGACTTGTTATACTGAGGGAAGAGAAAAACACAGTTTCTAATTAAAAAATATTTATTGTAATGTAATCTTGTATGCCACTACAAGATTACATTACAATAAATATATTTTAATTAGAAACTGAAGTTTTTGAAATTAATTTGAAAATTTACTTTTTCCATTAGATACATTTAATTTAGCAAATTATTATTATGTTTTGCAAAATTTTGTGGATTAAAATGGATAATTTTTTGTTTTCCAATTTTCATATTTAAAAAGAATAGATAAGACAAATTTATTGTACATACATATATACATACATACAAAAAAGACTTCAGCCGTACACAAGGTGTTTAGCCAGCAGAAAAGAGGGTAAGGGAAAGGGAAGGGGAAGAAGGAGGGAAAGGAGATAGACAGTAAAGAAAGGTAGGATCCCTCTAAATAGTGTATGTATGGCTACAGTACCCAAATTTATTGTACAGTAACATAAGTTATATATCACTTCCTTCCATAGTACACAGTTAGCAACCTCTTCCACATCCTTCCTCATGAAATAATCCTTAGTGTCACTTAAACTGTATTGGGAACACAATATTTCTTGAAAGAGTGCTGCACAACTTTTTCTGTGTTTTTAATCCAAATAGTTATGCTGTTACTGTAATAGACTAAGGAGATTGAGTGAAGTTGACATCTTAAATATTTACTATTATGAATATTAGTCTAATAAAATTATTAAGATGATGCAACAGAATTAGTGAGTGAGAAATAAGATGCATGACACTAGAGGTAACTAATTATGATGTATTACCTTGAATCTAAGATGCATTCTATTTTCAGTGCTGCTAAAATGTGAAAAAAAATGTCTTAAATTCAAGTAAATACAGTAAATCAAATTTTATTGGTAGTCTTTTTAGATCTTGTATATGATAATCATCGTGTAAAAAAGTAAAGTTACATCTCATATTTTAAATTTTATTAGAAGAATTAAGTAAATTTAAACAATTCATTTAAATGCAAGGCAGGAGAACCAAAAAAATAAATAAATATTAAGTAGATTCAATAAGAAAGTTGCAAAGGATAACAGTAATTAATAAATTATATTAAAATTTCTTATTTGTATTGAGAATAATGTGATATTTATATTGATATTTTAATATCTTAAAGAAATTTTCTGCAAAATATATTTAATAAAATCATATATTTATAGAATATCATTTATATTTTTAACCTTGAATGGATTTGGACAGTATGTTAAGATTGCTAAAGTTCCATATTGGCAGGATATGCTAGCTATCTTTTATTCAGCAGACCAAATAATTCAATTAATCAACAATCAAATGAAATCAGTTTTAAGTAAGTAAATATTTTTTTTTTATAATAATTAACAATTTAATAATTTTTAGAGATTTTATATAAATTTTGAAAATTGTTTAGGTAATAATTCTTTACAAGTATCACATCTTTCTCTCAATCTTCCATCTTTAAAGGATGTTGTTTCAAAAATTATTCCTGCACTCCCTGATGCATTTGTTGCATTTGGAAATCTTCTTACAAATGATCTTAAAAATGTAAGTATGGTTGCTTCTGTTTTATATATATATATTTTTTGTTTTTTTTGTTTTTTCCATTTAGTTTAACTTTTTAGTGGTAGAAGGAACATGATGGTAACTGNGTATAGTATTTTAATCATATTTATTAAATTATTTTGACATGCAACAGTTTTTCCTATAAAACATTATTATTTTATAGATAAGCCATTTAAAAGAATCTGCAACTGATGAACCTATAAAATGGAGAACATTAATAGATAAGTCAGCTACTCTTTGGAAATATAAAAATGGAACACAGCTATACAGTTATAGGTGGAAACGTTTGGTAAATGCTTACAAATCTTTCAGAAGAAAAATATGGAGTGACTCTAATTTAAACAAAAGGTATATGATCTCATTTAGTTGTCATGCCATCTCAATAATCATTCAATATAATATAGTGTTCAAGAATTTTTAATAACACTTTTAAATAATGAAGAATTTCAAAGTAATTTTAACTTTTATTATACTTGTGTCCACTTTGGACATTCTTATCAACTGGGACTTGTTATACTGAGGGAAGAGAAAAACACAGTTTCTAATTAAAAAATATTTATTGTAATGTAATCTTGTATGCCACTACAAGATTACATTACAATAAATATATTTTAATTAGAAACTGAAGTTTTTGAAATTAATTTTAACTTTTATTATACTTGTGTCCACTTTGGACATTCTTATCAACTGGGACTTGTTATACTGAGGGAAGAGAAAAACACAGTTTCTAATTAAAAAATATTTATTGTAATGTAATCTTGTATGCCACTACAAGATTACATTACAATAAATATATTTTAATTAGAAACTGAAGTTTTTGAAATTAATTTGAAAATTTACTTTTTCCATTAGATACATTTAATTTAGCAAATTATTATTATGTTTTGCAAAATTTTGTGGATTAAAATGGATAATTTTTTGTTTTCCAATTTTCATATTTAAAAAGAATAGATAAGACAAATTTATTGTACATACATATATACATACATACAAAAAAGACTTCAGCCGTACACAAGGTGTTTAGCCAGCAGAAAAGAGGGTAAGGGAAAGGGAAGGGGAAGAAGGAGGGAAAGGAGATAGACAGTAAAGAAAGGTAGGATCCCTCTAAATAGTGTATGTATGGCTACAGTACCCAAATTTATTGTACAGTAACATAAGTTATATATCACTTCCTTCCATAGTACACAGTTAGCAACCTCTTCCACATCCTTCCTCATGAAATAATCCTTAGTGTCACTTAAACTGTATTGGGAACACAATATTTCTTGAAAGAGTGCTGCACAACTTTTTCTGTGTTTTTAATCCAAATAGTTATGCTGTTACTGTAATAGACTAAGGAGATTGAGTGAAGTTGACATCTTAAATATTTACTATTATGAATATTAGTCTAATAAAATTATTAAGATGATGCAACAGAATTAGTGAGTGAGAAATAAGATGCATGACACTAGAGGTAACTAATTATGATGTATTACCTTGAATCTAAGATGCATTCTATTTTCAGTGCTGCTAAAATGTGAAAAAAAATGTCTTAAATTCAAGTAAATACAGTAAATCAAATTTTATTGCTAGTCTTTTTAGATCTTGTATATGATAATCATCGTGTAAAAAAGTAAAGTTACATCTCATATTTTAAATTTTATTAGAAGAATTAAGTAAATTTAAACAATTAATTTAAATGCAAGGCAGGAGAACCAAAAAAATAAATAAATATTAATTTTAATTATATGAATTTTCTTTAGATTAATATTTTTAATGTACAGTATAAATATTTTTTATTGCAGAATTAACACTGTTTAATAATGCAAATATCACACTATCGGATTTATTTTTGGAAACTCCTGAATTGGAAGAGATCTTAATATGGTTTGAAAATTATTTACTTCCTGGTTTGGAAAGTACTTTTCATACACTATATATGGATAAAGAAAAAGTTAGTAATATAATATAAAAACACTTGAATTTATCATATTTCTATTTAATAAGTTAAACTATTAAAATGTTGTATTTTCAGATTGTAAATCTTTTGTCTAATTTTAATTTTAACTTATGCAACAACACAGTCATGACATATTTAATTCCATTACCTAATAACAGTAATGAAAATTTACTGGAAGAAGGAAAACAGAAATTATGTGATATTAATCTTGCAAGGATTTCACAACAGTGGAAGGTAAATAAAATTATTTTTGATAAAAATCAATTAATTATACAAATTTTTTGGTATGAATGAAATTAACTAATTATATACTTAATATATAAAATATATTTAGATATTTTTTTAANCTTCTTACAAATGATCTTAAAAATGTAAGTATGGTTGCTTCTGTTTTATATATATATATTTTTTGTTTTTTTTGTTTTTTCCATTTAGTTTAACTTTTTAGTGGTAGAAGGAACATGATGGTAACTGAGAATAAATTCTACAAACGTTTTATTTGAAGTTTAAAAGGAACAGATTCTGAAAAAAATAGTCTAGCACTTTCAAACTTACATTTATTATCAGAAACAAGCTATAAATACCTTTACCATACTAACATAACTAATATGTTGTCATATAAGTATACTAAACCAAAAGGAATATGACTTAAACAAATTAATTAACAAAAATCTGTTGAGAATAACATATGATCAAAAAGATAATAAACTAATTGGTTTATTAGAGATTTACAAAATACTCTAATTGGACCAATACACTTATCTCATTTTGGAAATGAACTGTTACCAAGAATTGAGGAGGTAGAGTCATATTTATAATATTTTATTGTAAATATTTTCCATAAATCTAGACAGATTCTAGTATTTTCACATTATTTTCTTAATTGATTTTTTCAAGAAGTTGCACTTTATCCCTAAGAATGGTCACATTATTATTCATTTTTTTTTCTTGTATAAATTTATCTAATAAACTAATCTTTCTTCTTCTACTGTCCATCCTTTTCATTATTAATATTGTCACAATAAAATCAATGGACAAGTATGAGATGAATTTTTATAAGATTTCATTCATTCTTGTCTATATCCCAATACACTCATGACTTTGTATACAGAGAAGTATAATTTTCAGCTTTATATGATCAGCAAGAAATACTTTATACTTGAATAAGTACATAGTGTCATAAAATTTATAAATTCACATTTTTTATCATAAATTGTTGTTTTCTTTATTTTTTTTCTCTGTTTATAAACAATTATTCGTTAATAGTTGTTTATGAATACGTAAATAATTTATAAATGTATGTATGATATCAAAATATAAAATTCCAGCAATAAGAACATCATTGTCAATGGTATGCATAGCTCTAATAATTTGGTGGTGCCACCTTAATAATTATAAAATGATCATGCCTACAATAATGTACTTGTTTCCTAATGCCATTAAGTTTTGTACATGTTAATTCATGAGTTTGTAAACTTTTAGTGGTTTTATTAGATTGATTGAATTTTTTTTTCTATGTATGCTTGATCAATACAATCTTTTGCTGTTGCATCATTAGCATAAAAAATTACAGTAGAAACAAAAAACTACATTTTTTGAAAGATTGTATTGTAATTATATTTATTGTAACAATTGGATTGGAAGCTTCTTTGCCTCTTTTCAATCAGTTTTATTAAATTCTTTTAGTGTAGGCTGAGTAGGTCCTCTAGAAACCTTGCCCAATGTTCTAGTTTATTTTTCAGAATAAGGAAAACAGGATCATCATAGAGAACATTCTCTTGAACTGAATGTCTACTAATGGAATGTCAAAGTATGATTACTACTAATACTTTTTAACATGTCATTTTTTTCAGCTCAGCACTACAACTGTCATTTTTCACATGTTATTTTGGTTGAATTGGCTCAGATTCAGTACATTCACTTGTATTCATGATTGTACTACCATTTGGTAGTTTTAAACACACTACTTAATGATCTTTCTTGTAGTGATAGAAATAACCAAACATCACTAATAAAAAAGGGCACAAATATTAATTTACACATCTAAAAAATAATATTTGGCAATTGATATGATGAAGTTTAAGTAGTACTGAAGTACAGTATTGTGTTGTATTGTATTGTAAATCAGAATGCAGTGAACTTAGTCCTACATCATGCGAGTGACATTTGAGCGTAAAGACATAATTTGATATATGATCTCAATGATTAATGTTGAGAGATGAATCAAGATCAAACTGCTCATGGTGTGTATTTCAGTTTCAGTAGTATTCAGTGCAGAAAATGCTGGAACTTTGTAGAATATTCAATAGTGGCTCTACATTATGATTGATTGGAAGAATGATTTGCAATGTGTGAAAAATTTTCTCATTGGATAATAAGATTGAAGAATGCCATCAAAGGAATGATATAAAGAAATTTCCAGTATTTTTTTGGAGTTACAGCAGTCTATGCCACATATAGTTCTTTTAAATGGAGAAATTCAGCATAATTTTACTTGTAATAATAATTTTTTAATTGCAGATTATGAACAAAATACATAGAAATATTTTTAGATTATGAATAGCACAAACAAGCACATAATGTTTTCAGGTCTTTTGTTTGTATTAACACAAATTAAAATTCAAAATTTAAAACTTTTCACACAAAAAAAATCCTTTTATTTTCTATCGTACATATTATTTTGTTATCTCCCTGTCTCAAATAAAAATGCATATTAGATAAAACTGAAATAGTCAATAAAGAATTTTACAGATAGAACTGTCATTTTCTTTTTAAAGCAATTTACTAGATGATTTGTGGAGCCATGGCACTGGCAATTAACCATGCACACTTTGGTTATTTTGTTTAAAATTACCTATTCAAAAGAATTCCAAGCTCCGTACTGAATATTATTCATTAAAAGCATCAAAACTTTTAATGAATTTCAATAAATATTTCTCTATAAATCTGTATGTAGAATTTTTATTTTATTTCATATAATTTTTAAAAATGATAATTTATATTTTAATTTAAAGAACTAACAACGCTGAAATATTTTATTAATTACAATTCTTTAGATTTTAGACAGAGTAGAAAAACTGCCATATCCTCTTAGTAAACTCCCATGTGAAGAGGGAAGCATAACTGACATAATTGAATTTAAAGATAAATTGAAAATTCAAAATATTGAAAAGAATGCTTGTTCATCTGGACCTTTCATCACTCAGGAAATTATTACAGAACCTACAATTTCATCAATTATAATTGCTGTAAGTGTAATTAAATAATTTTAAATTTGTAATATAATATTTTCTTTTATTTTTAAGAAAAAATAATATTTTTTTATTTAATATTTAGTTGGGCTGCAATTTTAAAATTGCTGATTCCCACTGTTGTCCATTTGTCTGTCTATTTATTCTCTATTAATCTCAAGAATAGTTAGATAAACATTGAGACTAGATATAGAAAGTTTAGAGGCCAGATGCACCAATTAACTATATATGAACTTCTAATCTGGACTGGAAGTGACATGATTTTAATTCAAAATTTTTACCTTACTATATAGAGTTATAAACTTAGTGTAGAGTTGATTCTTATGATAAACTGAGATCAGTAATATATACACAACCCTCTAAGGTGTACAATATTTATGTGATCTCACATTTTCTATGATAAAAGTCACATGAAAAATAATGTCATTATAGAGAAAAAGTAATCACAGTTTCAGATTCAATGTAAAACTTATATTTTTACAATTAAAATTAGTTTTAACACTGTATTTTATAATACAATTAAAAATTTTGGCCTGGCATTGTGATGATATCAAAATAGGTATTATGATTTTTAATTTAAAATAAATATTTTTTTTTAACAATATCAATGTTCATTTTATATATTATCATCTGTAAATTGTTTCATGTATAATTAATAATACAATTTAATGAATTGTAATACAGCTAATAAGTATTTATTTATTTACTTTTACATGATATTATTGAAATATAAAATTTAAAAAGTTTTATTTATTTTTAGATTCAGAATGCATCCCATGGCAAAGAAATTAAATTTAATTGGACTAAAGCTGGTCAGCATGTAATTCAGGCAGTTGAAAATTCTAAACAACTTTCTAAATTCAATGGATCCATTTTTCCTGATGTTCCAAAATTTGATGAATCTAAAATGAAAATTGCTATTGATGAAGTAAAAAAAATGCTTACAAAAATTAATGATGAAAGAAAGGCCTTCAGGTAATATTTTTTATATATTTATTTAATATAGAGGAGATCATTCCATGTCCAGACAGTTTTTAGTTTACAACCATTTCATGTGAATTGAGGCTGTAGAGAACAAGTTTAATTATACATAATCATAGCACTTTCCATTGCTCAACTTTTGAAGTTACAGTTTCATCAGTATCAAAAATCAATTTCTCAAAAACTTTTCAAAAATGGCAAATTGTCTAATCATGGAACATGATGATACACAACTAGACAGTGGCATTTCACTATCAGACATAAAGATTCATACCAAATATCATGCACATTTTGTAAAAAGTTTAAAACTTATTCTTAAATTTAAATAATCACAAAATGACTTCAGAATTAAAAAAAGTGACATTTGACAACATAAAAGTTTTGGATATCTAATATCCACTTTTGCCACTTAAAACATAAGCTGCACATGGTAATAATAAAATGCTTTAATTTTAGCCAACATTGGCATAATCTCAAAAGAGATAATAAATAAAAAGATTGTTGGCACTTCATAATGCTACAGATATTAGTGGTGACATTTTGGTAAATATGTCATTTATTTAAATTAATATTAATTTTAATCTATATTTGTAAATACCTATGAATACTTTTTCCTTGCAAAATATGTGTGAACAGATTCATCTTGTATTTCTACTCAAGCAATACTTTGGCAATGACATTTTGAAGATAACTACCCTGCTAGAAAACTTTATTAGTGATGTAAATGCAGCATGTAATAATGATTAAGTTTTCAAAAGGTACAATGCTGAAGCAAACTTGTTGCAACATAAACAAAATCTGTTCAACCAGTGGGCACATTTCCACTACTGGATGCATCTGATTTTAGAAATGGAGCATTTTTTATTGTGCGAGTGATAGTGGTGAAACTTGTGATTTGACAACAGTGTGTTAGGGACCTATATGCACTCTAATAGGCATACTTCTTCACAGCTTAACTAGAATGTTGCAAACATACTGACTGAGAATATTACAAGTGTCGCCTGAAGAAGTTAAACAAGACCCCTGAAATTGATTTACTGCTTTCTCTGTTCACATGGTTGTCTTCATCTTGCTAAAGTTTATACCACAGATTCAGTACATGGATGCCATTTAGCACTAACTCAGGAAGTCTCTTGACAAGATAGCATTGTGAAACTTAAATTATCTGTTAGTGGAACTGTTTGAACATAGAATGGTCTCCCTTACACAAAATTTTTAAATTTTTTTCTATATAATGAGTTTTATATTAAAATTATTTTGAAGTAAGTAACATTACTTTGAGTATTAATGCAATGACAAGAAAAATAAAATTATACTTCTAATTGTATTAAAATGTCAGAATCAATTATAATTTTAAAAAATAGTTTAAAGATAAAATATATCAAATTAATTCTAAATAAGATTTTTTTATGTAATTTTTCATAAATAGCTTTTTGTCCATATAGCTATATTGGTTTCACTCATTCACTGATTCACCCAGTGACACATTGACTAGAAATGTTTGACATGAAAAGTTTGAATAGAAGCAGATTTCTTACATAAAAATGAAATGAAAAGGAAATGTAAACTTAGTTACCAGATGACTCTGAAATCTTGAGAGTAAAATATTTTATACACTATGAAGTATCAAAATTCTCAATTCTCAACTTTTTATATAATGTTATGAAATCTGAGCATATAATCAATTAAGTGCCATCTATCTATTTTTAAATTCGTTTATTGTTAATTTGCTCTGTATTATTTTAAATTACAATATTTGTTTACAATTTTTTTTATCATTAATTACTCTTCATTAAATTTTTAAAATATTATTTATAATTATTTAATCAATATAAATAAAATGAATATTGTTTATATAAATAATTATTATAAATTGAATGAGCATTATAAAATGATATGAAATGTTAAGATTAGACCATAAAAGGTAGTCAGAGGTAGTGTCTTAGGATTATATAATATATGAATGAATTTATAAAAATTGACAAATAAATATTATGTATACACAAAGTATATAAAATAGAAATTTTCTTGCACATAAAATGATATTTTATTTATTTATTTTTTTACTATAAATGTTCTCAAAAAATAATATTTAACATGGTAATTATATATTACAGATCAATAGTTTAAAAAAACAAAACCAGAAGCAGTTAAATGACAAATACTTTATGAAAGAACATATCTTATTTTTGACTTCAAACTATATGGATCTCAGTTCTTATGCAATACATTAGTATATTTTTATCTCTTTTTTTTTTATTTTTCCTAAAATTATTCTAACCTAATTCATTTCACTTCATTAGACATAATATGAACTTTTAAGATTAAACAATCAATTTTTTAAACTAAAGTATCTATATAGAAAATTAAATTATCACAGACTATTTTTGATCTTCAACCATACATACACAGTTTAATGGATTAAAAGTAGTTGTAATAAAAATTATTAAAAGAATTGACAAAATAAAGTTTTTGTATTAAAGTAATGAATAAATACTTTAATTTAATCTATCTAATTAATCTTTTTCAGATTTTCTAGTCAAATATTAGACTCATTAATTTCATACACTGAAAATTTATCTGGTGGAAATCAAATAGCATTAGCTAAAAAAAATGCAAATTGTCCAAAAGGAAATTGTAATAAAGACAAAAATTTAATTTCTTGGGAAAATAAATTTGGATTTAGCAAATCTAAATTTAAAAAAATTATTAAATCACTGGAAATAGTAACTAAAGATATTTCTGATATTTTAAGCAGAACTTCAGGTAAGACATTTCAAGTAAATTTTATACCAATTTTGAAATTATTCAAGCATAAAATATTTCTTTATTATTAGGATCAGAAGAAATTTCTGTATATAATATTTTCAATGGTACTATTATTAGCGATGCACTGAATGTATTGAAAGAGGTACCAGATGCTTTGCAAATGATTGTTGAAGCAATTTTTAAACCTCAGTTTTCTACAAAAGTATGCATTAAATAATTTTCTTACTTTAATTTTGTTAACTAATTCAAATTAATATTATTCATCTTTTTTTTTTAGATTTCTAAACTCATAAAAATGAATATTAATGATTTTTGCTCTGATAAACTTTTATTTTTGGATATATTTGGAAATACAGAGGAAACAAAACACATAGCTGAAGATTTTCATAAGAAATTATGCCACTTAATTTTGAAATTTCATAGAAACATGTCTGCAGAAGTTTTTTTAAAAAATTTTATTGATCTTCCAAAATTGGTAAGGCATTAAAAATTTTTTAAAATTTTTATTTAATTTCATTAATAATTTTTTTAAAATTGACTTACAATCTAATAATTATTTGCATCTTTAACAGAAAAACTTATGGGAAAACCCTATAAATGATACAGAAAAAGTTCAGTTTAGAAATATTGTTGATGCACTTATAAATATTATGGATAGCATAAAATATTTAAAGAAACATAAAGTTTTGTCAGGATTAGAAGATAATTTCCTAAACCAGTTAAAATGGGAAGATCTAGGAGCATTTATTAATGAAAAATTGCAAGAAGCTGGATCCAAAAAGTATGCAATTTTTTCACTATTAAAACTTTTTGGAATTTTATACTTCTTTGAATACCTTTATATTCTAATTTTAAATAAAACTTAATGAATTTAATTTCAGATTTACTTTACTTTTGCAACATACTTCTAAATCATTGATGAAAGCAGATGTGCAAAGTAATCATACTTTATCAGATAAACTTGGTTTAATTGCTATATATTTTGAAAGAGTAAATGGAGTTTTCCTAAAAGTTAAAGGTAAAATTAATTTATGTATTATAATAAAGAAACATAGTTAACTTGTTACTATATTATTATTCAATAATTGAAATTTCTAATTTATGCATTACTATTTTCTTAAAACAAATTACACAGACAGTAAAATAAATGTTAGTAATTTATTTAATTTAATGAAATTTTGTTATTTTTTCGATATATTTTAAAAACTAAAATCAGTTTGTGCTGTTGTGGTGAGATCCATGTCGCCTTCGTATTTTGACGTTGTCATTGGACGTTGGCCTCTCACTCTCTCTGTCTGTTTACCAACAAAATCAGTTTGTGCTGTTGTCAAAACAATTGTAAATCATATTGCCACTTTGCACTTATTTGTAAAAATGAGATTAATAATTACAGATAGTAATGCTAGTTTCATAGAGTTTCTGATTTGATATAAAATACTGTAATTATACAGTAGAACGTCGTTTATCCGAAAGCATTCTAGCCGGCAAATTTAAATTTTCGCTAGTGCTGTGGCACTGCAATCTTCGGCTATTTCTTGGGCTACTCAAATATTTTACGTTTTTGATACTAAATTAACATCTGAAGTATAATTTTTTATTGTTTTTATATTTTTCAATATATTTATTTTGTTTGTACAAAATAAAAAAATAATCTTTAACGATACAATAGTCTTCGTTAGGCTTAACATCGACGAAACTTCAACACAAAGCGACATGCAACGGAGAGAAATTTCAACATGGGATAAATTAATATATTTTTTTGTACATGATTCGTTATCCGAAAAATAAGTTATCCGAACCACCCCAGTCCCCAATTGATTCGGATAAACGACGTTCTACTGTAAAGGTTTTTTTTGTTGATCAGCTAACAAAAGAGTCTTTGCCCTTATTGAAACACATGAGTTCCAATGGTCATTTATTGTTATCAGACATCATTGAAATGTTAATCAAGGTTTTCTATTGTACAGTGAGTGCACAATCAGAGTAAAAAATTGTGAATCTCAACATTCTTTACACAAGATGAAGAAGAAATTGATTGTGTTAATACAAGAAAGACTATGACTTTATAATTAAAGTGAAAAAGATTATTCAGATATTTATAATTCATAATTATTGATTATTGTACAGTACCATATACAGGTAGAATAGGTTTGAAAATTTCCATATTTGTTTGATTTTCATTTCTTATTTTGATGATATGAAAGAGATTTTCATTTCTTATTTTAATCCAGTTTTTCTTCTTCTTTCTCTTCTTTCATAAAATCTCAACATAATTTTTCAATAATGAATTAAGAAACACATTTTCTTAGAGCAATTGTTTTGAAAATGTTTTGCATGTGTATAGTTTACCTATACTTCCTTATTCCAACGATATTCATACAATGTGAAAGTCACAATGATTATTCTGTTTGATTTGATGTTTAACTGTACATTCTGATTTAATGAATAATTATCTGTCATAATTGATATTAGTTATCATTGGCGATAGTGTTAAACTAGCATAAAAAATTATTATTAATTAATGTTGAAGCAGATTTTTAATAGTTTTTGAGTCCAATAGCATATTTTAGACATGTAATTCCATTTTTTAAAATACATGCTCAATGAGAATACAGTAGAGCGTCAATTATCTGAATCAATTGGGGACTGGGGTTGTTCGGAAGATTGATGTTTCGGATAACCAATTATGTACGAAAAAATATAATAATTTATCCCATCTTGACATTTTTCTCCATTGCGTGTCACTTCATGTTGAATTTTCGTCGATGTTAAGCCTAATGAAGACTATTGTATTGTTAAAAATTATTTTTTTATTTTGTACGAACAAAATAAATATATTGAAAAATATAAAAACAATAAAAAATTATACTTCAGAAGTTAATTTAGTATCAAAAACGTAAAATATTTGAATAGCCCAAGACATAGCCAAAGATTGCAGCGCCACAGCACTGGCGAAAATTTAAATTTGACGACTAGAATTCTTTTGGATGATTTAGCTTTCGGATAATTGACGCTCTACTGTATGCATTTAATAAATACAATAAGAAAAATGCTAAAAGAAAATTTACAAGTCTAATTTCAATGATTATTTTTAAATTTTATCTTTTACATGACATTATGTATTTAAATCACTTTTTCTTCCTGATATTCTCTTTCTTACTATTTTATCATTTTAACTAATACAGGTATCCGTTGCATAACAAGGTTCTGCTTAATGTGGGATTTGATTAACATTACAATAAATTAAACAAATAGTATCAGTTGACTTTTGCTTTATTAATATTTAACGTGAAAGCAATGTTTCATTGATTGAAACTGTTCTACTATTCTGAAACACTGCTTTCAGCATTCTAACAATTTGAAACACACTTGTTACCTATAAATGCAATGATGTTAATAAAGAAAAGGTCATATGATTTATTTATTGAATAATATTCGATAGATTATTAAGACATAGCTTAAACATCGTATTTGTAATATTAGTAACAACACAATACTGTATTGAAAGGGTATAGACACATCTTGTGCCAACATCATGCATGTTCTGTTTTTATGAAATGAATGTGTATATATATATATATATGTCATGTGTCCATTTTTTATTATTATTTTTTAATTATATGAATTTTCTTTAGATTAATATTTTTAATGTACAGTATAAATATTTTTTGTTGCAGAATTAACACTGTTTAATAATGCAAATATCACACTATCGGATTTATTTTTGGAAACTCCTGAATTGGAAGAGATCTTAATATGGTTTGAAAATTATTTACTTCCTGGTTTGGAAAGTACTTTTCATACACTATATATGGATAAAGAAAAAGTTAGTAATATAATATAAAAACACTTGAATTTATCATATTTCTATTTAATAAGTTAAACTATTAAAATGTTGTATTTTCAGATTGTAAATCTTTTGTCTAATTTTAATTTTAACTTATGCAACAACACAGTCATGACATATTTAATTCCATTACCTAATAACAGTAATGAAAATTTACTGGAAGAAGGAAAACAGAAATTATGTGATATTAATCTTGCAAGGATTTCACAACAGTGGAAGGTAAATAAAATTATTTTTGATAAACAATTCAAGAATGGGGTTGTTTGGATAATCAATTTTTCGGATAACTGATTACGTATGAAAAAATATATTAACCTATCAAATGTTGAAATTTGTTCAAATCCTGGCATGTCCTTAAGTACCCTCTCATGGTTGCACCAGTGCTGCCAGCTAAAACATGCACACCAACAAAAATAATATTGGAGTAGCCCAAGACATAACCAAATATTACAGTACCACTCCATAGCTAGTA